AGATTTTCCTGAACTATATCTGAAGTTTCTTGTTCTAAATCCACTCTGATCCTGTATTTGATCATGTCTAGAAACCCCTCCATTTCAGCCCTGCTCAGAACAGGCTGTTTCTGTGTCTGTACCTTTAAATATGTAAATGAGCTGTGTCTGACCACGCCCCCTCTCTGGAAGGGCTTGGGTGTACTCGGGCTTGTCCTATTGTTTACGGTGAGAAGGCAGACTCAGAGGGCAGAACAAACACCTAGCTGTGGGAGTGTCACCCACCTGGGGGAGGGGCTACTTCCCTTTGTGATGTCATGAAGGGAACATCTCCAAACGGCCTGTTTGAGCACACATTTTCTGAAAAGTGGAGCAGGTAAAAGACGGAGAGGATGGACTAGAGACACATATTAGAGTTAGAGGAACATGGTGAAGTGGATTTTACAGATTATGAGAACTTTAAAGTGTTGTAACTGTCCATGAATTTGGTGTCAGTGAACTATTCTCAATTTGAAACTTTCTCTGCCACATAGTTCTGCTTGTCAAAGTGAAAAACAACAAACTGGTTACATAACTTCACCACTGAAGCGCCGCAGGACTTCGCCTCATTACATCAGAGTACAAACTGAGCTGTAAGAAATGATCAACTAATTAAAAAGGATTTATGTGTTTTATGGTGTCCAACCCTCTCGGCTCTATAAAACACCAGAGATCAGCGATTTAACATTTCACAACATCACAAAGTGTCATGTTCCTCTCACAGCGCCGTCTTAAACAAAGAAGTCTGTCTGTTCTCCCAGCATGCTTTGCAGATCAAATCCGCGCCAAAGAAAGGTTCCTCCTCTAAAGCACAACTCAAGTTTTTCAAAATCATCTAACCAGAAGAAATCAACGTTAACGAAGTTCAGCACAAAGTTTGAACGAGATTTCGATTGGACGTCAAACGAATGATAATATTAAAATCCGACCCCTGCAGATAATCTAATGTTTGAAATATCAGAACTTTATGTGAGACATTAAATCTGACACAAGGAGGCGCTTGAGCAGCTTTGAGTTCATATCCGCAGCGTTCAGTATTTCATCTTCTTTTGAGTCACACATTTTTTATTTGTGGATTTAATAGTTCATATTTTTCACCCCTCTTTTTATTCATGCAAACATCTAATCCAACCCCGTCATTAAAACTCACACTCACATTGATGTGTTTGTGTTTTTTAACTACATTTCTTTAGGTGGCCTTGGTTTCCCAGAATCCTTTGCTGTTCTCTGGTTCGCTGCGGTACAACATTGAATACGGCCTGAAGGGCTGCAGCCTGGAGACGGTGACAGAAGCTGCAAAGAAAGCCAACGCACACAAGTTCATCTCTGAGCTGGAGGACGAGTATGACACGGGTACAGAAGTGCATTTAACATTCACTTTCACATGAGTTATTACAGAGGCATTTCCTGTTTTTAAGTTCAAAGGTCACATATTATGAAAAACACTCTGCACCATGTTTCTCTAACACTAACATCTCTAACAAACAGCTGCACTGCGTAACACTCAGGATTTAAACAGTTAAATATTAACTGAGATAGGTGACGGGTGTGATGCAGGGACAATGTTTGTTTATAATTAATCTTTGTTGTTTGTCTCATCTGTATGCTGATTGTTTGTTGGATACAGATATAGGGGAATGTGGCGGCAGACTCGCGGGCGGACATCGGCAGTCCATCGCCATCGTCAGAGCTCTGGTTAGAGACCCTCAAGTGATCATACTGGACGAGGCCACCAGCAAACTGGACGTGGAAGTGCAGCATGCTGTGAGTAAAACTGCAGATAGCTTATCAAGAGCACAGGCTCAGTGAAGAGCTCAACCGACACAACAGCTCTACTCCGTTTAAGTGTGGCAGAAAGGTCATGCCAGGGAGTCAGTGGAGCTGCACGCACAGAACAGAGACCCTGAGACTGAAGCTGCAAAGTGATATCCAGAAATAGATCCATTCTATCGTTTACACTCAGGGTTTTCCCACTGAGACATGTAAAAAATGTTAAGCATGAAGAGGCCGAAGATATTTAAACCAAAGCTGTTTTTTTTACATCTGCACTCCTGAAAAGTCCTGAAGTCAAAACATGAAGTAAAAAACATGACACAGAAGTAGAGGACGAAGCAACAGAGTCCACTACACGACGCTATAATGAGAATATTTGTCTTTATATCAATGCTACATGTAGTTCAACAGAATCACACCATCAACAAAGAAAACTTAAAGCAGCAGGTTCATTATGAGCACAGAGATCGTAGTGGTCGCATGCAGTCTATGCATCATGCTGCAGTCATTCCCCCTCCTATTGGCTCAAGGTGAATTCTCCTGAGAATATCCTGCTGTGTTCTCACATCAGCTCACCCGGACTTGCTGCAAAAACAAATGACTAGGGGGTCTGGCAGGAGAACCTCAGGATGAAGTCCGTTTGTGTTCACACATAATAATAATAAAGTTTATTTATATAGCGCTTTTCGCAGACAAAGGTCACAAAGTGCTTTACTTCAACAAAAAACAACAACAGCATACATACAATGAAAGAAGAAAAAAAGAAAACATGCAGCTCCTCCTGTGAAACATCAGGAGTTTTCTGCAAGTGTGAACGCCCTATTAGAGGATTCCCCTTCAGTGATTTCACTTTTACATACACATTCATAGGCCTAGTAATCCAGTGTTGTTTTTTTTCATCTACCAAAAACATGCAGAGACGCTCCTGCACACAGTCTGTTGGCAGCGTTTAAGAATAGAAATGTTGCCAAAGGTTTTTGTACAGTTTGTACTCTCTCGCTCTCTCTCTCTTCCTCTCAGAGAGAGGGGGTTTAAAATATGACAAACAGCTGCACACAGAAGGAGGCAAGTTACTCCCAGAATGTTTCTGTTCTTTGCTCCAGTGTTCATTTTTTTTTCTTGTATACTTCTCCCCCAAAGGAGCATGATGGGAAAAATGTCAGCAGAAATCTAATTGTAGTCGTGTGAACACATTTTTTTTCTAGTTTATGAAAAACATTTTAGTGATATTAAGTGTTCTCCTACTCTTACTTTAACCCTTTACATGACTCTTAGTGTAACTCTTAATGATCCCAGCTCTAATCTGGAGCTGCTGTGTGACCTCGTTGAGGGCGGGGTCATCCTCAGTAATTAAAATAAAAAAACAAAAACATTTCCTTGTGTGCATGTTATCTTTAAAACATCTCTGATTTAAAGATAACATGCCAGAGAAGACAGAATGGCGTCAGGGGAGTGTTTTTTCTCAGGAATGTGGACAAACAGAGCTGAGACACACCTGAGAATCTGTTAAAACGCCCCAGAATACCTTATTGAATCATAAGCAGATTGCATGACTATTACTGAGACATTTACAAGTTTAAATTTTTGATTTTGGAAATCTATTTTTGTTTTTGCTTCAAATCTGTAATTGTTTTAAATGTTTTTATTGTTTATTGAGTATTTTATCAATTTCATTCTTAATTTTTGACCCTTTGCACCTTAATTCTTATTTCAGCCGTGGTTTCTTTCTTACTTCTTCCCCCTATTCTTCTCTAATGATTTTATCAGTATGTGTTCTGTTGTTGTCTGAACCTCTGCACCGTTGTAACTGAGAGTTAACCCTCGATGTACCTGAGGATGTAAGAGGACTAAATGATGATGACGATGATGATTCACAGCTCTTCTCACAGATTGATGTAAATTATCCGTTTCTGCGCCTCAGGTTCTGCAGGAGGTTCTGTCCTGCGGTCGGACGGTCCTGGTCGTGGCTCATCAACTGAAGACGGTGGAGAAGGCCGATCACATCATCTTCATGGAGAAAGCCCAGGTGGTGGAGGAGGGAACGCACCAAGAACTGATGGCCAAGAGAGGACGCTACCATCGTCTGAAAGAGGAGCTGTTCTCTGACTCTCAGTGATTTGGAGTTTCACTGTTCGGACAAAAACGTTTAGTCTGCAAAAGAGGATTTTAAAGTGTAAAAGCTCTTCATGCACGGTGACTCGTAGTTCAGCATCCATCCTGAAATGTTCAGTCTACTGAGGTGGACCTGAAAAAATGCCTACCGAATGACCAAGAGGGATCAGACTACTGAAAAGTCCACATTCCAAGCTGTTTATGTAAATTTCCACTGAGAAAAACCTAATTTAATGCACACGGTGTTAGATCTTACAATTATTAGTGGTCTCTTTTTTTCAGTCCAGACGAAAGAGTTGATGTGGTAACAAATAATAAAATCAACTCAAATGAAAATAATGATGAGAGGAGAGAGAGAGAGAAAGAGAGAAAAGGAGCAGACAGAAAGAGAATATCGTCTGCTTTTGTTTACACACTCATAAAGAAAGTATTACTCTAAAATACTTTTTTTATTCAAATAAAAACACTTCACATGAACGCCTTCGCCGCTCTCTGTTGATTTCATTTTCAAACCTCAGACATCACATCACCCCCTTTATTAAAACACTGAGGATGTGGAGGATTTGCAATATTTCTCAGAAAATGAAGGAATGGGTGAATCCTCTCCATCCTCTGAAGAGAAATAAACTATTTAACCTCCCATGGGGTTTAACCAAAGTTCAGCAATTTTCTTCGGTCAATTAAAAAATGAATTTGAAAAGGATGCAAAGCTTTTATACAAACCAGCCGACAATATATGAAGTAGTTGAGATTAACAGAACAATCATATATATGTATATGATAGTTAAACATTTTACTGCCATATGCATTATTTAACTCCTGAAAAATGTTTGCATATTTTTCCCTAAATATGTGTTTTAGGACTGTTTGATGGAGTGGGAGGATATCAGATTATTGGTACTAAAAATGGAGGATGAAATACTTCTTTGAGCTCGTTCAGAAGCATTAGATAAAAAAGTAAAACCTGGTTTTATCTAAAGTCTTAAGAACTTGCCTGGGGGAGATTCTTCACAGTTTATTGAGGGTAATTACAGAATCACGCTGTCTCTTCAGTTTCAGTGTTGGTTGCATGCTGTTTTTCCTTGCAGTGCAAATCGCCACCACCAAGACTGGTCTGCAGGACTCCCACGGTAGGCTGCATTGTGTGTGTGCAGCAGACAAGTGGTGACTGATCAGGGTCCGAGGAAGACGCTGCTAGTAATCAACAGTTGCAGGTTTAAAGGAGCAGTTTTGTGTTAAAGGTCAGTCTTGAGTCTTTCCTGCAGCAGCTCATAAGAAGTTCTCCAGGAAACAACCGGCGTCAGTGCGGAGGGGCGCGGTGAGCTGCACACGATGATCCCTAAGATCGCGTTCTGCTCTCGGACTCTGAGGAGCCAGTGTGCCGCTCCTGGAGCTCTGCAAGGTCTGCACAGAGCATGGACTCGTCGGACAGGCTTACCTGCAGCGAGCCGGTGAGTTACACACAAATACAGGTTTACTACACTGGTCGGAATCACTGTAAATAAAAAAAACTCGTCATGTCTTTGTAGTAGATTTTTTTTTTTTAATTAGAAGATAATGATGTATTACGTTTTGCACGATTGCAGCTCGTTTTCTGATTGATTTTGTGTGCACCTATTGTCCTCTTTAGTTTGAAAAAAAGGAAATCTAGTCACTATATTGGATAGAAAACTGATAGTATGGACTGTGAAAGGAAGGGGAGGAGACCTCAGAAATACATATGGGGTGTTTTGCAGACAACAGGGCCGGACTGAGGATTAAGGCAGGGTCCCCGGGTCCCCTGGTACCCCTCTTTATTAAAACTTTTTTGTATTTAGAATTTTATTACAATGTTTACATTAAAATATCTAAATTAATTACAAATGGACTAAACCTATATGATATGTATTGTATTTTGTTTATTAATTACATTACATCAAATATTTTCAACAGTTATCAAAGCCAGAAAGAAATCTGTAATTTTACAGTTTTAACAGAACGTGTCATGTTTACCGTTGCCGTGGAAACACTGGTTGTTCTATCAGACACTGCTGCACAAAAGAAGCGGGAATTGCTCGTGAAAGTTGCCGTACCGTTGCTGTATTTGCTTAATGATACTCTTTTCATCGGGGGCTGGGGTAGCAGAGAGAACTCCATGATTCCCCACCGACCTCGACTTGGATTTTTTTCTCCTTTTTAAAAAAAAAAAAGAAGTATATTGCAAACTTTCGGTTTCCGCAACATTCTCTGCTTGTTTGTGTTCAGGAAATCATGGCGACTGAAACTGAGCGTATTTATACTGGAGATGGTGATGATACATTTTTGAGCAGCGGTCGGTGATTTGTAGCGTTCCTCCTCCGTCTGCAAAATTTTGGGAAACGACAGCTGTTCCAGAATTTTTTGTAAAAATGCAGGAAATACGGTCTTACTCAACCGTCCAATCACAGGGCTTGGGGGAGATAGATTGATAGTAGGGTTAGGGTTGGGGGGGGCATGTAACATGGTCTTCAGAAAAATTACACCCTGGGGAAGCTCCAGTTATATAATATGTACCGTACTCATTGAGGGACTGTAAGAAGAAAGGTAAAGTAGGTCACATCAGCTTCCCTGACCCTGAGGGGCCCCTCTGAGCATGTGTGGGAGGAGCTGAAGTTCCTGAAGGTTTTCTTCAAGTTTCTGTATTTCAACTTTGACATAGAAACTCCATGACAAAGACCCAGTCATCTACAGCTTTACATTCAGGAGGCTACCAGTTTGAAACTTTTCAGCTCCGTTTCTGTTTTTACATCACCTGGAGGACGGCTCCTGATATTCTCCTAATCCTAGTTTTTTTTTTTTTATTGTAAATTCATGTTACAAAGATCGTAAACTAAAGGAGGGGGATGCAATTAAAAACCCAACACACTTTATGTCAAATTCAGTGACCATGGGGGGCGCTGGTAGCTTAATGGTTAGTGTATGTGCACCATGAAGTAGGCTGCAGTCTACAATTCTACAATTCACTTAGCAGACGCTTTTATCCAAAGCGACGTACATCAGAGAGTAAGAACAACACAAGCAAGGATCTAGAAAAAAGGGAACAATGTCAGTAAGAGCAAACGATCAGCTTTGAGTCTGATTGGACACACAGGTGCTGACAGGAAGTGACCAGAGGCAAAGCACAACATTGAGGGCAGTTCTTGAGAGCTCTAATCAGTATAGAAACCATCTTATAAGTCATCGTTATCAAACAAAAACCATCGCCATTACCATCATCATCATCAATAATATGGAGACCATCATCATTAAGTTAGTAGGTATTCATGAAAGAGCTGGGTCTTTAGCTTTTTCTTAAAGGTGCAGAGGGACTCTGCAGGCTGGTGGCCAATGTCATTCCCCACTCTCTCTCTCTCTCACCTTGATTTCTGACTCCATCCACTGTCCTATTTCTAATATAAAGAATATAAAGACCAAAAATAAACCCTTAAAATAATCTGTGAATATCTTCTCACAATCATTTTGCAGTGATCTCTCTCTCTCTCTGTGCGCTGAAATAATCTGCTTGTATTTGGTTTGCTGTGGTGTTCAGGCGCCAACAATCTCACTATCCAGCTTTTACAGTTGTGGCTGACAAACACTTTGAAAGGTTATGTGTTGTATCTAAAATCCTTATCAGGGTCTCTAATGGACCTTGGAAACCGTGTTGTCACGATTGTTGTAATTCTCTGTGTGAAAGGTGAGGCGAACCCTTTATCACCTCTGTTCAAACAGTTTAACTAACTATCAGGTCACGTTACACGTTACACGTTACACTCAACCAGTCCATTAAAAAAAAGCATAACGCATATTTCCAAGAGACTTAACAGGAGGAGGTCACTGAATTTACAAGTGACCTGCTCCTGTTACTATAAATAGTTACTATATTTGTCTTATAATTAAAGAGGAAAGTTTATGCCCACACAAAAAATAAGAAGAGCCTCAAACGCTGGAACAGGTTCTTCCAAAAAGAAAAAAGACCAATCTAGTGACTCTGTAAGATGGAAATCTGATAGTATGGACAGTGAGAGGAAGGTGAGGAGACCTGAGAAACATGTGTGGAGTTTTACAGTCAACATGGGCCGGACTGAGGAGTACAGCAGGGCGCCAGGTCGAGCGCCCCAGAGTTTAACAATCCAACCTACAGTACTCTCTAATGCACCTTTTGACTCTGCAGGGGCATCCATGTGGACTCTTCGCCCAACATCCCCACCCTCACTGCCAGCTACGCCCACGGCACCTCTTCCTCGCCTCTCCTCCACTACACGGTAGCAGAGGCGCTGCAGAGGACCGTGGAGCGAGTGCCCGACAGGGAGGCCATGGCCTTCCTGCAAGACGGAGTCCGCAAGACCTTTGCTCAGTTTCAGCAGGATGTGAGTCTTCTACTTTATCCTCACTGTACACTGCATAACAAAACATGCTCATTCAGTGTGACGTCGGGCCTGTCGACGAGTCTAAAGTTAAGAAAACATTGAAAAGTTTGCTATGTGTAGATGATGTTAGCATTAGCATTGCTAGCAACCGCTAGCCTTCAGTCCTCCTCGCAGATTAACGTCCACATGCCTCCACATCGTTCCAGACCAGTCTTTCTATGCCAGCCTACTTCCAACTTTATCTCCATTTTCTAGATCAAAACACTTCAAAAACCTCTCCACCCCATGAGATGACATCCGTCCACTTTGCTGGTTTACATCCGGGTAGTAGAGCTGTACGGCAGTTAGCCATTAGCCGGGGCTGCAGCACCATCTAGTGGCCAGAAGCTTAGACACAACATTTAACCGACGTTGAGGGCCTGACTTAAATACAAACATTAATAATTAGATTAACCCAAAACAGCAAACCTCCATTATTGAAAAAAAAAAAGAAGCCTGCAGTTCATCGAGTGTCCACTAGAGGCCGGCTGCAGAAGCATCAAAAGTCACATACACACCCCATTCAAAAGAGTCAGTTTTTACAACATGCCTGGTTCCAAGAACGAAAAAAGGCCAGATTAGCTCGATCAGCACTCACTCTACGGGGGGTTGAATTCTTCGATGACTCATCAGTTTTGATTTGATGAAGAGTTTTTCACAATAAGGCGTGTAGCTGGTGATAATAAGAAGATGGTAGTCGTATATGACCTTTCACCTCTCTTTGGTATCTAAATTCAGCCCCCTCCCCCCGCCTCTCTGTTTTATTGCTGACTAATCATCAGTCCGTGCAAATATTGACATTGCTGTAATGAAAGCTCACTGGAGCTTTGATAGACGTTTTCCACTGCAATGCTTTTTTTCATTATTTTTGCATTAGTGGCGGCAGTGGGACAAACCGACCCCGCCAGCGATAACAGTTATGACATGTTAGACTGGAGTCATCTGCATTTTCAGTCCCGTTCACTCTGTGAACTCTGACCCAGTTAACCTGATGAATTTACATACGTGGAGACACTTCACAGGAAGCGACAGAGCTGAGCGGCACAAAGTTCAGATCGTATCTGTCAAACACCTTCACTGGTTAGAACACGAGAAGGTCACCTGAGGTCTCTCACATGTTTTGGATTATTTATTAAAATGAAATTGAAGTGTTTGCTTATTTTTCTTAGTTGCACATTTATTCTTTAGTCTTTAAAGTTATTTATTTCTTATCTTTTTTTAAAATAATCTCTCCTTTTTAAGTTATTCCTGAATGGTTTGATGCTTTCTTTATGGATAATTATGTTTCATTTCTCGAGCATTTTCTGTTTTATTTTAAGGATGTATTATATGACAGTGATTGTATTAGTTCAGCAGCCTCAGACGGTGCAGACTGTGTGTGTTCTCAAGTTCAGAAATTGATCTTCATGTACAGTCAACACAGACCTGTTTGACCCGTCTGCCTGTGCTTATAATGTTTCTATAACCTCTATAGGTGGACCAAGCTGCAGCCGGGCTGCTGGCGCTCGGCTTGACTAAAGGAGACCGCCTCGGTATGTGGGGGCCAAACACTTATGAGTGGATCCTGTTCCAGTTTGCCACAGCTAAAGCCGGTATTATAATGGTGAGTCTGCAGGAGGCGAGAAGAGACTTTACCATTAAAGGAAGAATGTGCGACTTTTTTGATCCAGTAGGTGTCGCCGCCCTTGAGCTCCAACATGAAACCAAAACAAACTGCTGTTTAGTGAAGCCTCCGCTCTCCTACAGCGACACACCTCCAACTCCTCTCCTCTCGTGTTCACAAGAAGGAGTTTGGCTCTAGCTGCGATCGCCTGTGGCCTGCATGTTGTGATAGCGTGCAAATGTTAACACTCTTTAGTTAGCTCATAGCTTCACATTGGACATAAATTGACACAGAAGAATGAGTGTGATGATGAATGCTAAGCGTCCTGAACGTCTGTGAAAGGTCGCACCTTAAACATTAAAAACAAATCTCTTGCTAGTTGCTAGAAAAAAATGGCATTTTTTTTCCTAGGCTGCGTAAACATATTTAAATGAAAATGACAGATATGACAGTATCTTGCTAGTGCACACTGTCAGGTGTTTCTGACTTGTTTCTACTCCGTACAGGTATAAAAATGTTGAAACCATTGAAGGTCGTGTTGATACTGGATGACCCTGACGAAGGCCACGAGCTGAAACACGTCGTTCTACTAAAGTTGATCTTTGTCCTACAAAGGTTTGTCCAACCTTGGTAGTTGGAGAAGTTGAGTCAGAAAACCCGACCCTTCTTCTTCTGTGGTGAAAGTACGCGCCACACAAAAAAAAGTACTTTGCAAACAGCTGTACCTAGAGGACATAAAGAGACACTTCAGCACATGACAAATAACTTATATGTTAGATGAGGTCACCTCTATAAGGCTGTGGCTCAGTGGGAAGAGTCGGTTCTCTCCTAACCTGAAGGTCAAGGGTTCGATCCCCAGCTCCTGCAGCTACATGCCCGATGCGTCCTTGGGCAAGACGCTTAACCCCAAGTTGCTCCTGACAAGCTCAAATCCATTTACCGTTAAATTAGACTCATTGGATTTTCCTTCTTTATTTACGTTGGTTTAACTCCGCCTCTTGTCAAATTTCAAATCGATCAATCTTTTTATTTTCACCAACAGGTGTCTGTGAACCCGGCGTACCAGCAGCAGGAGGTGGAGTATGCGTTGAGGAAGGTGGGTGACATTTTCTCATATCCCTGTTGTTACACATAGAGACTGAATCTTAAAACGTTTAACCCCCCCTCTGCTCGTCCCTCCCTCAGGCCGGCTGTAAGGCCGTGGTGTGTCCCGCTCAGTTTAGGACTCAGAAGTACTGCGACATGCTGAGAAAGATTTGTCCAGAGATCGAGACGGCCACGCCAGGAGACATCAGGAGTCCCAGGTACGGTAGCCGGGTCCCGTCACTATCAAAGTATTTAGTACATCTATGTAATGGAGCACTGCAAAACAAACCTGCACATGTCAACTGCCAGAAACGTTTCACTTTGTAGACGTTTTTTATTTTTTTATTATTTATTTTATTTTATTATTGTGTCATACATACATCCATATGCCCAGCCCGCATGCCCCTTAAAGAAGATAAATAAAGATAAAGATAAACTTTATTGATCCCCCATGGGGGAAATTTTTGCATTACAACAACTCAAGAAAACAGGAATATAATTATTAAAAATAACAAGAAGTTAAAAATCAAACATATTTATATCAGTTAAATAAAGGGAGAAAAAATACAATAATAGAATAATACAAGGTATGTACACTTCCACTTGTGCAAAGAGTTTTTGTTATTGTTATTAAAAACACACACAGTGTGAAGCATTATGGATATGAGTCATGAGGTGGTGATGCTGTTAAAGAGTCTGATTACATGACACCATAAATAAAAAGAAAACGTTCCCGGATCAGAGTGCACTAGGTAAACTATATTCATTCTCAAGAAACAAAAAAAGAAAGCGAGAAGTCAAACTAATGAAACAGAATATCCGTCTTCTTCTCCAAGCTTTTGAAACAAAATTATCAAGTTTAAACACATCAAACTTAAACAGCCATTCCAGTTCCTGCACAGACATTAGACATCTTGTCCTTGAGCGGGATGGTCTCCTGCTGTGAGGGGCATGTGTGAACAGGATCTAGATATTTTCAGGAGTGCAGATGTGAAAACGTACAAACAGCTGGTGCGTCCCTGAGTTTGAGTAATGTCCTGCAGTGTTCATATCATTCAGTCAGGATAAACAGGTCACAAAGATAAAACAGAAACTTCTTTTCTAACAGGGAGAGTGAAAGCTGCAGACTGTAACCACTGAACTCTGTGCTCTGCAGTTACTCAACATAACCCACATTCTTCTGTTCCTCTGCCCCTCCCCCCCCCCCCCCTTAGACTCCCAGAGCTCCGCACTGTGATTGTCTTGGACAGCCGACAGCCAGGAATGCATCATTTCGAGGACGTGATGCAGGCGGGAAGCAGCCGGTTCGTTCAGCAGCTCCACGATCTGCAGAAGAAGATCTCCTTCGACGACCCCATCAACATCCAGTTCACCTCGGTAACCCGTTCACATTTCACCCTGCTGACCTGAAATAATCTCTGCTGAGGTCAGAGCAAGCTGAAATATGGGCTCTTATCTGCACTGATGAGGAAGTGGAAGTTTTTCCTCCTTTACGGGGGGGGGGGGGGGGGGGATTTCCTGTTTTGTTTTTTTTGTCGCTCTGCAAACTGGATCACAGCTCCTGACCTGAATTTTACTGAACAGGCAACATGTCCGTCCTCAGGAGGGAAATAAACGCCTGCACACTTTTTCATAATAATCTTAGCAGCACAAGTGGGCTGGCGGTTAGTGCATGCACCAGAGGTACGGAGTTCCTGAGAGCATGCAGCCCGGGTTAGATCCCGACCTGAAATGAGGTGCCAGTAGCCTAGTGGTTAGTGTGTGCAGCCCGTGTACAAAGGCTGAAGTCCTCCAAAAGACGGCCCAGGTTCAAATCCGACCTGTGGCTCCTTTCCTGCATGTCGGGTCGTTTCCCACTCTCTCTCTCTCTCTCTCTCTCTCTGTCTCTCTCTCCTCTCTCTCTCCTTTCTCTCTCTCCTCTCTCATTTTCTCTCTCTCTCTCCTTTCTCCCTTTCTCTCTCTCTCTCCCTCTCTCTCTCTCTCTTTCTCTCTCTCTCCTCTCTCTCTCTCTCTCCTTTCTCTCTCTCTCCCTCTCTCTCTCTCTCTCCTTTCTCTCTCTCTCTCCTTTCTCTCTCTCTCTCTCTATCCTTTCTCTCTCTCTCCCTCTCTCTCTCTCTCCTTTCTCTCTCTCTCCCTCTCTCTCTCTCTCTCCTTTCTCTCTCTCTATCCTTTCTCTCTCTCTCTCTCTCTCTATCCTTTCTCTCTCTCTCCTCTCTCCTTTCTCTGTCCGTCTGTTGGAATCATCATCATATAGAAGTATGACATCACCACAAACCCGTGTTATGGATCTCTCAGTACAGGGGTTAATGGTTTTCTAATCTGTGTTATCAGGGCACAACCGGAGCTCCAAAGGGTGCCACTTTGTCTCATCACAACATTGTCAACAACGCCTTCTACACGGGCCACAGAGTGGGATACGACTGGAGGGTGAGTCTGAACCACGAGGGCGCTTCGCCCACATGTTGAGAATAACCCTTCTGTTTAAATACTGAGAGTGTTGTTCATGGACACACACTTCTTCACATACTGAGCTGAGGAGGTATAGAGCGAGCGTGACTGAAACCAGCGACCGGTTTATCGACCATCATTATCCTGCTGTATCTTCTGTATGGTATCCCTCTTTGCTTAAGAGTGCCATTGGTGTACAAAAACTCACTAGAGAAGAAAATGGGAGTTAATCCGCCGCGAAAAATAGTCCCTAACTACCTAAAACTACAGCGAGCAAAGGCGTCAGACAAATCAAACTACATATGAGTTTTTTTCAGAAACATTTCTGAGGACTTATGAAGAGGGACAATCACCCAGAACAACACATCATGAGGACTTTGTTTTCTGTCGGCATTTATACGGCCATGGTGCTGGATGAACCTTAAAGTCTTTATATGTGATTTTTCACACTTAAATGTAGAAATCAAGTATCTCCTCTGAAAATAACTCTGTGAGTCATGACTGTCTACAATGGGTGTAACACCCGAGTCCCACTGTCTGTGATGTTTTCAGAGTTTTCAGAGTCCTATCTTCAGTTTGTTTACATCGCGGGACGGCCGGCTGACTCCTCCCCTCGTGTATAAAAGTTGTTTAATTGAGGGACTAGAGAAAAGAAGAATAACATACTGTACTCACTGCTTAACTGTGTTTCTAGATCACGCTCATTTTAGGTAAATTTACATGCAGTGTGAAGATACCAGCATAATAAAGATCGCTAGCATTAGCATGCTAACACAACAATGCAGCGCGAGTTGTTTTGGTTTCATGCTGGTGCTCAAGGGCGACATCTGCTGGATCAAAAAAAAAAATCACATATAAAGCCTTTAAAGTGACGTAAGTCGGCTGACAGTTTCTAGAGCAACGTCACTTAGAGCACAAAACTGACCTGGTCCGTGTTTTTCTTCCACATTTTTAATGATGGTGGTTAGTGGTACTAGATTGGCTCTTGTGTCCGACCAATCACAGTGCATCAACGTCACTCAATGTAAATGGTGAACGGACTTGAGCTTGTTTAGTTCTTTTCTAGTCTTCTGACTCCTCAGAGCACTTTTACACCGCAGGTCACACCTACACATTCACACACTGATGGTAGAGGCTGCTCTGTGAAGAGACCATCAGAAGTAACTAATCCATTCACACACATTCATACACCGCTGAAGAAGCAGTGGGAGCAACTTGGGGTTAAGTGTCTTACCCAAGGACACATCAGACATGAGGCTGAGGCACAAAGTCCCTCTTGTGCTGGGAGAGGGGAGGAGGGTTCCAACAGTTCCAACAGAAACCCGTATTGAGAACTGTTCCTGCACATTTACACTTTAGTCTCAACACTTTTGCAGACTCACAGTCGGGTAGATGTTTGTAGATGACTCTTAAAACAATAGAGGGCTGGATCTGTTCCCGTGCTGAACCAGGGGGGTTTCCTCAAACTGTGAAACAGAAAAGAGTCAGCGATATTGTTTTTTGTCATGTCAGCTTTCTTCCTGTAACTTATCCGTCCGTTGCAGTCTGCACTCTGTGACCCTTTGTTTCCTGGTTTCTGTCCCACAGCCCCTCACTCGTATCTGTCTGCCTGTGCCCTTGTATCACTGCTTCGGCTCGGTGGGTGGAGGGTTGTGTATGGCCGTGCACGGCATCTCCCTGGTGTTCCCCTCTGCCGGCTACGATGGGAAGGCGAACCTGGCAGCTGTGGAGAGTGAAAGGTAACGTGGGAAATGCTCTGCAAGTCCAAAATCTTTGTCTCTAACTTAACGAACCTCACGCTGAGTAATCCCACTGCTACGTCATAGAACACTGATCATACAAACGACCACAGCTTCATGAAAACACAGGAAAACATGGGCTTCTGATTTTTATTATTTAATCCACCCGGGAGATCAACCCCATCAGACACTGATTAATATGAGTCTGCCCTCCATCTCTCCTCCCAGGCCTTCACTTAGAAACAAACAGAGACATACTGAAACATCTTTGAACACTTCTATTCCTGTGCAATCTTTCAAAAGCTTGTAAGAGTAGAGTACGCTCTTTTCGATTGGTTCATTACATCATTGACAAGAAGCCTTCCTCTAAGCACGGCTCACATGCTCTGAAAACGGATTCACTAAACTATTGAGACAAACAAAAACATTGATGAAGAGAGAGAGAGAGAGAGAGAGAGAGAGAGAGAGAGAAAGAGAGAGATCTTTATGCCCTGAATATTTTCCTTGTGCACATCAGGATGTGTTCAGCATGCAGGAGGAAAATGGGGGTTAAGTTCAAACATTTAGTTCTGCTTCATGGTACATTTTTACAGTGTCTGCTGAGCATTAGCGTCGGCTCTTCTGATTGGAGGAAACACTTCCTGATCAGATATCATGTGTTGTTACGCTGTTCAAAGATGAAGAGGAAAGACTTCATCTTTATGAAAACAGTGAACGCTCTTTGTCGGTGATTCCAGCGGTTACAGTCGGCCACTTTAACAAAGATGTGTTTTGAGATGAGTTTTAAAAGTGGAGAGAGAGAGGGGTGCCGGATAGCCTAGCGGATAATGTCGCGTGGCCCATGTACAGAGGCTGTAGTCCTCATTGCAGCGGCCGTGGGTTCGAATCCGCTGCATGTCATCACCTGCATTAAAAAGGAGTGACGTCACAAGAGTATGACAGAAGGAAGTTTTGTTTTGTTTATTGGCACTTGTCTGCTGCTGTCTCTGTCCAGGAAACGGGACGGGAGGGGCGGGGGAAATGTGGAGACAGGAGGGGAGGAGGGGCGGGGGGGGGCTTGGAACAGGGCATTGTTTTGATCCGACAACCTGCTCTAAAAGTTGAACAACTAAGACCTGCTAGAGGCTTTAAACTGCTGAGCTGTGTCCTTACATCATCCACAGTTACCCCAGGTTTTGTCTTCTAAATTTTACTTTAAAGTACAGACCGAACAGTTTTCATTTTATTTAAGTCCTCTCTCCCATAAGGCAGTCACAGTCATTTCCCTCCTCCTGCCATTTAAAGGATTATTCGCCTGTATTGTCAGTAACCACCTGAATGGACTCGTTCCACATCTTTGATAACACGGGTAAGGGGTATTTATTGGTGGGATTGGATTTAAGCCGTAAATTGTCGCCTTTTCCTGCACCGACCCGTGTGAAGTTTATCTTTTGTATTTCTTGTTTTGAGGACATCGTGTTCTTACGCCTCTCACCTGATTATAGGGTCACACAATCTGGATAAGGTGAGGAGCTCAGACGTTCAGTGGGGAGCTCGGAGTAGAACCGGTTTGGGACATCGGATTAGGATGGATGACTCCCTTTGGAGGTTTTTCCAGGCAAGCTCAAGTAGGAGGAGACCCCGGGGGTAGACTCAGAGTTCACTTGGGGGATTATAGATCCGGTCTAGCCTGGGAACAAATCAGAATCACTCAGGAGGAGCTGGAAAACGTTGCTGTGGAGAGGAGAGTCTGGGTTGTCTTTCTGCGCTTGCTGCCAACGCTACCCGACCTTGGATAAGCGGAGGAAAATGGATGGATGGATGGATTGATTTTAGGGTCAGACACAGAGAACAGAGCGAGACAAGGAGGCCGAAAACCTCACTGTCTTCTACTTCCATACAGGAACTTTAGAAACATGCAACCTCTTCAGAAACTCAAAAAAATCAAATTTCCAACATATGTACTGCAACACAGGTGCAGATTTAGGACGATATTTAATGTTGCTATTTGTGGCTTTTTCAATCCCAGTGACACAGAAATCACAGAAGGTGTCTCAAGTTCCCAGCCTGAGGCGTCTTTAATGGGTTCAACCTGCACAGTCAGTTTCACAGTTTATTCAAATACACTTAATTTGCTTTCTTACGCGAGTGAATGAGAACATGTTTACGAATTCTGTTTCAAGGCAAACAGCGTCAACTCCAAGACTTAACTGAATCCTTTCACAATCGTCCTTTAAGGCCTCAGTCTCTCTGTAAATCAAACCAAGTCGGACATATTAATCCGTGACATTAAGAGGAGTTAGGTTGGGTATATTTTTGTTACATTTTGCACCCGCACCAACATCTGTCGTTGTTTCTGAAATACTAGCAAAGTAGAAGGAAAGTCTGGCGCTTCAGCCACTCCACAAATGGAGGTCGATGCTCTCGGAGACGGACTAAAGACGTCCAAAAAAAAATCATTCAGTGGAGCCAAAAGAGAAAACTGGAGCACATGAATCACATTTAATGGAGAGGCACATTTAAAAAAGGTGCAAATTACTTACATTTTGACGCACTGTGCGATTGCCACTAAATTATTATTAGTTTTTCTTTCTTCTTTGTGCTCAGTCGTGCTAAACTAAGCTAAGCTAAGCTAGGCTAAGCAGAAGAAGAAGCTTTAATGAAAGGAAACAGACATAAGTGAGGTATCAATCTTCTCGTCTACTGAAGACGATTACTTTCAATAATATCTCAACATGTTTTTTTTTTATTGTTCCCCTCACAGGTGCACCTTCATCTATGGCACCCCGACCATGTACGTTGATCTACTGAGCCAGCCGGACTTTGCTAAATATGATTTGTCCTCCATTGAAGGAGGTGAGAAACAGACTCATAATCTCTTTTTTTCTGACAGGATCTGCATGCACATACTGTAGTTTTTCATGCTAAATAAATATCCACTTATTGATTAAATGATATTCTGCCTTGTGGGAGAGCATTTCCATATTCTGATTACATGTTCTCCAGACCTTTCGTATCTGTTTTTGTACTGCAGGCGTCATGGCCGGTTCCCCTTGTCCTCCAGAACTTGTCAGGAAGATCATCGGTGTAGGCATCAAGCAGATAACTGTGAGTACACCTGTAGTTTATTATAACTGTGGTTACATTTTGTATCATTTAGGAATCAAGAACTTTAATCAAGGTGCACTAAATGTGATGCTGCAGTTCAGCGTTCGCTCACTAGGGGGCGACAGATACACACAAAAACACAACCATGCCATGTATGCATTTTGAAGAGAAGAAAAAGAAGTCCTTTTTAGACCAAACGATGGCTTCATGTTGTAAAATATTTATTGGATGTGAGCAGTGGATGTCACCTCCAAAAGTCCAGGAAATGTAAAGATGTTGAATATACAGAAGATAAAACGTAAAGTAAAGCACATGTCAGAAACCTGCGTGGATGGCGTGGGACAAATAGTTCATTTTTTTTCTGCCGGTTTGAGGTGAAGTGTTGAGAAAATACAAATGTTCTGTTTATGAAATACATTCAAAGAGGGTGAAATTGTAATGCAAGTCGGCTTTGCCTGCTACATTAAGTTTTATTATTACGTTTACCCACATCTTCAATTTCTTTTTGAGGTCATTGTTAAGTGTTTGCTTTAAATTGAGTTTGTAAAACTGACATCAGAAAGTAAAAAAAAGAGTAAAAAAGTGTTGACGACCCCCAGAGTGACAGCTCTTCATTTTTTGCAATAGGCACTAAAAGAATCATCACTCTATTCTGCAGCTTTAAGGAGCCCTTTGGCCTCTTTTTGCTCGTTGTTTATCAGGTCAAATATTTGCTTTTATCAACATACTTCAGTTTCTAGCAGCAGCAGACAGCTGTTCCCACCAGGGAGACTTTCCATTACATTGAGAATATATTTTTTTGCCTTGGGGGGGGTTCCAAAAACAAGCTTTTTTTGTGGGCATACGTTGATTGAGTGCAATGTTGGAAATTTCCATTCAGAAATGTTTGTATTTATTGATCTTTAAGACACTAATGTATAAAAACGAAAGCAGTTTAAATGGACAGAAAACATACTGTTGTTTTTTAAAAGGTGACATATTCTCCTCCTTTTCTAAAAGTTTAAATAAGTCTCAGAGCTCCTCAAAACATGTGTGTGAAGTTTCTTGTTCTAAATCCACTCTGATCCTGTATTTGATCATGTCTATAAACCCCTCTATTTCAGCCCTGCTCAGAACAGGCTGTTTCTGTGTCTGTACCTTTAAATATGTAAATGAGCTGTGTCTGACCACGCCCCCTCTCTAGAAGGGCTCGGATGTACTCGGTGCTTTCTCGCTCCATGTCCTATTGTTTACGGTGAGAAGGCAGACTCAGAGGGCAGAACAAACACCTAGCTGTGGGAGTGTCACCCACCTGGGGGAGGGGCTACTGCCCTTTGTGATGTCATGAAGGGAAAATCTCCAAACGGCCTGTGTGTAGTGTATTTTGCACAATATGTGACCTTTAATAGAGCATGATGAGAAGATTAAAATGGTGATGCACGGCAGGTAACCTCACCTAGAAATGACTTTTCGTCATCTGTTTAGTAAGTCTTGTTTATAACAAAGAAGCTATCACTTATTTATCGAGCTTTAGACGTGCAAAGAAGGCAGATTTTGTCGCAGTAAGAGAAACGGAAGCACAGCTGTTTCCCCCTCTTTCTTTCTTTCTGTCTTTCTTTCTGATTGATCAGAGCTAATCCATGAAAATGTTCTCAAACTCATCTGTAAGAAAGCAAGCCAGCATATTTACTGAAATCTTAAACTTGTTCCGATAAGATAATATCTGGTTAGTGTTTATAATATCTTCATGCTTGTGGAAGAACATCAGAGAGGACACTATGATCAGTGAAAATAAAAAAAACATTCATTTGTTTGACTCGACAGCATCTTTTGTTTGGGTTGCTTTTTGATTCTTGTACATTTCCACTTCAAACTCTTCAACTTTGATATACACAAAGTCTGTAAAAGGTTTAGATAAGTTTGAGTGTGACAGCGACAGACAGAGAGTGTGAGTATAGTCTGTGTTTATACTTGTGACATCATCTGGGGAGTCTTGAAGTAGAGTTAGCTAGCATTGCTTTAGTTGCATGTTCAGCCGGTCGCTCCTCCTCGGCGTCTCCTGTCGGCACAGAAACAAAAAAGTCAGCCGCCAAATCAAACAGTCTGCCTTCCAAATGGAGTCCTGTGTGACCTGGACTCGGTGTACTGGACCCCAGGGCCAATGTGGAAAAAGTTTAGACGGGGACAGAGGAGAAGGACCGAGAAGTTTTATGTGTTTTGGAAGAACGCAAAGCCAAGTGTTGAGCTTTTTTTCAAAACCACTTTAAATGTTCTTATTGTAAAGACACCCGGCTGAAAACCCTCACAGTGGACCGTCAGGGGGAAGGATGTGATTTTAACCATAAAGAGGAACAAAACTCCACCTCAGGTTTTTACAAAGGTAGTCATCAGAGAGGGTGTCACTTCAAAACACTTTAAAATATAATGGTTCCTAAAACATTTGATCTCCAGGTGTCAACAGTTCAGTCAGGAATAAACCTCGTCATAGATTTAACCATTTAATGCACTCATAGCTCTCAGCAGGATCAGTGCAGCATGCAACAGATTTTGCAGAAAGTTCACACATTTAATGGCCCCCATGGAGACGTGCAGAACAGAACCTGAATGTGCATGTACTGATACTGAAAACATAACAAGCAAACAATTCATCCTAGGGTATGAAATGTGCTGACTGAAGCTGGAGGAGGTCGAGGTGGTGGAGGGAGAATTTACAGCAGAATGGATGTGATGCAGGAGGAGTGAGAGGCAGAATGGTTTAAATTGTTGTCAGAGTGATAATGATTGGTTAGCATCGGGGCGGTTCTCAGATCAGCTGAAGAGCCTGAGCTAACGCAGGGCTCCATTCACATTACATCAGATCACCTGTACAAGCTGCTGTGTTCAATGGCGCATGCCCTTCCTCGTTCTCTTCAGCTTCATTCTGCAGCCGCTGAACGCCGTGCTGTCTCTGACCTGCTTTCCTCTCTGCTGAGGCGGAAACGCACACGCTGCGTCCAGACGGATACGGCTAGAGTCCATCCACCTGTGGGCGGAAACCAAAAGATGTGCAGACAGTCTGTGCTTTGTTTCCTCAGAGTTGGACATTGTTAGCGCAAGGAAAAGCTCCTGGTGTACAAAAGTAAAAATTATAGCCTCCTGTGGATGATATTTTTTTATATATTTTGAAGTTTTGTAGTTACTACATAAGAGGACACATATCCCTATTTTTTATTTTACTAAATTTTTCCTGTGATAATGAGTCAATTCTGGTTGAAAAGGCAGGAAGATAAAATGTAAGGATGTAACTCTGTGAGTCATGACTGTCTACAATGGGTGTAACACCCGAGTCCCACTGTCTGTGATGTTTTCAGAGTTTTCAGAGTCCTATCTTCACTTTGTTTACATCGCCGGGACGGCCGGCTGACTCCTCCCCTCGTGTATAAAAGTTGTTTAATTGAGGGACTAGAGAAAAGAAGAATAACATACTGTACTCACTGCTTAACTGTGTTTCTAGATCACGCTCATTTCAGGTAAATTTACATGCAGTGTGAAGATACCAGCATAATAAAGATCGCTAGCATTAGCATGCTAACACAACGATGCAGCGTGAGTTGTTTTTGTTTCATGCTGGTGCTCAAGGGCGACATCTGCTGGATCAAAAAATCACATATAAAGCCTTTAACAAACATCAGTGGATGTTGGAAAGCGTACAAACAACCTTAAGAAACATGAAGAATACTGCAAACCTTGAGTCTGTTAAACATGACCTTTCTTAGCTTGCTGTTGTTAGCATTGCGTGCCTCATTAAAGTGCTGCTAATGTGGTTGTAAAGTGTTTGGTTTTTTACCTTCGCAGTGGAGCTAGCTGGCACGTGCAGCTCCACGGGTTGTTGGAGAGGGTGAGGTTTGTGATGGTGCCAAACTCGAAGCTTTTGGGGAGAGACCGCAGCTTGTTGTTGTCCAGGTGCAGCAACTTTACTGCAGTGACGCCAGTAAACGCACCATCAGAGAACTGGGAAAATAAAGTACAGCCGTGTATGAGAAGTTATTTTTGTTTTTTGGCTACATTCATAGAGACGGAGACACTTGGACTGTTAGCATTGAGCTACCATGTATGGTGCAGAGCCTAACATTTGAAGCACACAATTGTACTTCTACATGAGAACATATGTACAAGTATTTTCTTCTGACATCATGCTAATGGTGGGAAGCTCCTTAGTATATATCAATACTGTGTTTCTGGTTTTAAAATCATATTACAGGGATTCGAAAAATACATGATCATTTTGCTGCCTCTGGAATCATGAGTCATGAGCCTCTGTGCGACATAACCGCCCGATATTTTCAATGTTATATTAACATTGAAACATATTTTAAGTGCACAAGATCCTCAAAAAAACTCAACATAAGTAAGAAAAGACACATTTCTCAGGTGGGCAAAAAACATTTTTTTAGAACGGTGTTATGTTACCCAGGATGTGATCAAATACTAATGTTAACTTTTCTGCTCATATGTCGTTTTTTACTTAAATTATGGCCAACTTTCCTCCAATTTCCTACTTTTCTTTTGTCTTCTCAGTTGCTGAAACATCAGGGAAAAGGTTCAGACTCTCTGCATTTATTCAATTTCCAAACATTTGACACAACAGTACTTTTTTTTAGGCTTTGTTTTGGGGTTTTTCATGTCCTTATTTGACAGGACAAGTGGAACCAAGAAAGGAACCACAGTCTGGACTGAACTGCACCTGGGCCGTCCACATGGAGGGCCACTGCCTCTGCACACGGGGTGTTACATAACCATACATGACCATCCAGCCAATTTCACCAAACAGTAAATTTGTGCAGCATTTGAGCGCAACAACATTGAGTCAAATAGACACTGTATTATTACATTATTGGACAACCTGATTTGGAGTCATAAACGTTGATTAGTTAATGGAAATTGTCCTGAAACGTTTGATAGTTATAGTGGATAAAAACATGCTCCACACTTGGAGTGTTGTTCCACCACCAACAGCCATCCCTGTGTCTGTCAAACAGATGCAAAGCGAGGGGAATCTTGTCAGCGTTTCTTTTGGCATGAAAGCCTCCTCTCATCCTTCCTTCTGCAAACACTGACAGTCACTGCCTCTGTGTTTTTTCATACACATCTGTGAGGGCGCTAAAAGCTTCAGAGAGGTGCTAGATGAACCCCTCTACGTCGTGTCAAGTTGAGTCTCCTCCAGCGGGAGGAGGAGGCGGACGGATGAGAGAGGAAGCCTGTTTTTATGCGAGTCTTGGAGGACATGAGGCTGTTTGGAAATTTCCAATGTGGAGGCGACAAGAAGCTGAAGGCTAGCCGGTGTTTTTGAAGCAATGAAAGATGGACGACTTCCAACATGGCCGAGGTGTTTTTTTTGCTCTTTCTTTCGGGGCCACTCCTCTGCCAGGAAGGCTTTTGCAAAGGGGCCCAATTGTCCATTCAACCGGAGGCGATGGCAGGGCTAAAAATATTCCTCTTCATTCACTGTGGAACACCCTGCCTCTGTTTACCTGCCTCCTAACCCCTCCTGACCTGTTTACAAGACCCTCCCCGAGGGAAAGTAGAAAACACACCATGCTGAAAATAACACTTTGTGTAATAATTAGACGAGGACATGCTTGGCTGTCGTCCAGCAAACAAAAACACTCTAAAAATACCCGCGTTTGGCTGGAAAAGAAGTTTAATCTTCTGGGCCATGTTTGCTGCACTGGCCGCCGTCCTGCAGCTTCCACCTGGCTCACACACAGTCCCGCCGTGAGAAGGTTGTTATTTCACAGTTCCCCCCAACCCCCTCAGGGATGCTTCCATACTGTGGCACAGGTACACTCAAATATTGGACTAACCTCAAATATGAAGCTAATGTGCAACCAGGAATGTCTGAAGAGTAGTTTGGTAGAGCAAAGAGCTCAAACTGTGCATGCACACTGAAGCTGTGGAGGAACAGAAGAGTGCTCTGACTGCTCAGCAGATTCATGTCTGATATCTGAACATCCTTCTTCCCCCGGAGGACGATAGATCGAGGGCTGGGGTCAACTGTGCTCATGCTGCAGTCAAGCCTTTGTGTTAATATTTGTAATTTTGTAATTTATTTCAAGGATAGCCCCTTGAGATGCATCATCTCATTTTTCGAGGGGGGTCCTTACAAAACATAAATATAATCATCAGTAATACAAAATCAAAATGAAAGGTAAATCCAAAACATAATACCAAAACATTTAAACACAGAGCCACCCACAGCACACACACACACTCACAATCACTCACACTTAATGCTCCCCCAAGCCTAGCCACCCACCAACCAGCCAATATTACACAATCATAAAAAATCTGAAGAGAAAAAAAAAATCTGAAGAATAAAAAGAAAATCTGAAGAACAAAAAAGAAATCTGAAGAATAAAAAAAAATCTGAAGAATAAAAAAAAAAATCTGAAGAAAAAAATAACAGATTTTTTTATGGACTGAAAAAAATAAACATTGTCTTTAGATTGTAGCATGAAAACTACCACTTTATACTTTAGGTTGTCTCATAACTTCAAAAGCCTTTTCTTACAAATTGTTTGTTTTTGTAGAAGTTCACTGAATGCAAAGTCTAAATTGCACAAAAAAACAAACATTGCCGATGTTTTTTGTGCAATTTTGTGCAGAAGTTTGCATGCAATTTTGAATGGATCAAACCTCTCTGATGCACTTATTTAATCTAATACATTCAGATATTTTTAAGATTGGTACTTCTGGATGCTGTCGGTCATTGAAATGAAGGAGAATGTTACCCTAACCCTTAAAACATGTCGTTTCAAAAATGTTGAGGAGCACTTAGTCTGTCTTATCTTGCAATAATGGACTCTTATTTTCAGTATATATTAGTGATCATTTACATGTTTTGCATATATTTAAACCACAGCTTGAGGTGGCTTGGTTAACTCAGTCGAGTAAGTCACAGACTGACCTTCTCCAGACCCATGTTGTCCAGGTGCAGCTTCTCCATGTAGCGTCCAAAGCTCTGGAAGGCGTAGTCTGGGATGGTCCTCATGGGGTTCTTCCCCAGCGTGAGCTCCTCCACCACTCTCAGTTTGCTCATGGCTGCGAGGGGATACGTGGACATCCTGTTCCTGTCCAGGTGAAGTATGGCGAGGTTCTCCACGTCGTCCAGAGAGCCCGGGTGCAGCGTCGTCAGCTCGTTCCCGCTCATGTGCAGCCAGCGCAGGTCTTTGGCGCCGGTGAAAGTCCCCGGTCGCAGCTCCCGCAGCCTGTTGTCATTCAGCTGCAGGATGAAGAGGTTGATCATGGGGGCGAAGATGCCCTTGGGCAGGTCGCCGATCTGATTCCCGTCCAGGTGGAGGTAGGTGAGCTTGGTGAGGTCGTCGAAGGCGCCTGGCTTGACGCTGCTGATCTCGTTGTTGGACAGGTAGAGGTAGACGAGCTTCTTCAGCCCCTTGAAGGCCTGCGATCCGATCTCCCTCAGCTGACAGTGCTGCATGTGCAGAGAGATGAGACCTTTACTTTCGGTGAAGGCGCCCGTGGGGATGCTGCCCAGGTTGTTCCTCTGCAGGTTCATCAAACGGGTCACCTCCGACACCCGGGGGATCTTCTTAAGCCCGACGCCATCGCAGATGACGTGCTGGAGGTCACCGTGGCAGTGGCACAGAGTGGGGCACTGGCTCGGGGCTCCCCGCACTGCAGGGCCCAGGACCAGGAGGCAGGTCCCCAGCAGCAGCCAGCTCACACAACGCATCCTGAGGATATCCCGATGTACCCGTTAACTTGTTTTTAGGACTGCTCAGGATGAGAAGAAGCTGAAAAATCCTCAGAGAGAGAGAGCAGAGAACGCTCACAAAGTTTGAACTGGAGTGTGTTTGTGTGTGTTGAGAGAGAGAGGGAGTGAAAAGGTGAGCGAAGGTGGGCAGTGCAGAGAGAGGATGGCCGGTCAACAGAGCACACAGCGCTATTTATAACATTTACTTGAGGAAAAAAAAAACGAGGAGGGCTTGCCAGGGTGTTGGAGTGAGAGGTTTGCAAGAGGAAGTCAAGTGTCTGTGAGAATTTAACCCTGAATGAGCAGAGAGACGACACATGGCCACTTGTTTTTGTTGCAGAGTGAAAGAAGCTTCTGCTGCATTGAAGTGTCCAGACAGATCATTAGACCCCGTTCATCTTCCAGGTAAAATGTGTGAGAAACGTGGCATGATGTGCGGCCTCAGACTTCTTGCTCTATTGTTTTTCAGTCTGCGGCCGCAGGAAAAGGAGCCACTCCTGCGCAGCCGTTTTATAACCCATAATAGTCTCCAGATGGCTGCAAGCATGAAGCTGAGGTGCTGTTTCAGGTCGGAACAATTGTCAAAAGATACTTCCATCATCTCAGGAATGAAAGTTTGAGATGCCACTTTACATTCCTGTGTGGGTTCTTTTCTTTCTTCAATTTGGCTGCCACGTTATGTAATGGGTCGAAAACCTGTTGAGTTTTAAGAGTGATTGGAGATGGAATAGCTTTAAGTTGCTTTATATAAAGAGGGAAAGTTCAGAAAAAGTGCAGCGGTACTTTTTTTTTGCCTGGCTCATGTCAGAAGCTGGTTTGGCTTCAGGTGGCTCCACGATAAGATGGATGGATCCATCCAGGATATCTGGAATCTCGAGTTTACTCAACAAATCTAACATTTTATGGGGAATACCGTCCCCTCGCTGATTTCCCAGGTGAGAGAGCTCACTGTAATCCTCCTCTAAAGGGCCCAGCAGGTTCCCCTCGGTCCTTCACCTTCACCTCTCTGATTGCACCTGTGAGTTCTACAGTACAGTCTCTGTCTCTTAATGCAAAATCTAAATCAGTTAATATTTAGGGTTAGGAAGAACTTAAAGAACCAGGAACTGTAAACAAACGGAAAATTTGCAGAAACAAAAATACTGAAATGAGGTATTTGCACGTTGACTCGATAAGTCAGTGGAAAAACTATTTTGATAATCAAAAAATGGTTTGAATGATTTTAAAGACAAGTCAAGTTAAATTGGTTCCAGATACGTAAGCTCGAGGAGCCCATGTACAGAGGCTATAGTCCTTGTCGCGACGGCTGTGGGTTCGAATCCTGCCTCGGCCCTTTGCTGCATGTCACCCCCCCTCCCCCTTCTCCCAACATGTCCTGTCTCTCTTCAGCCGTCCTATCCAGTAAAGTCAAAAATAGCCCAAAAAATAGCCTAGTGTCTTCTCTAACAGACTGTAGTATCATCCTCTACGCTGACGACACCATCGTATAAACAACTGTTTGGTTTCGCTGACTTTCTGCAACTTGTCGCTGAAAACCTTCAACTTTCTTTTAATGTTCTTTTGGACGCAGTTGTCAACGTTTGAGTACATATTCAGATTTTTGCACCAAAACCATGAAGGGTAACTGAAGGTTATTTGAATCATGTTGTTAGTTTTTTTTTTTTTTTTTTAATCTTTTAATGTTGGTAAAAGAGGGAGGTCTGTCTCCATCCTCATGGCGTGGTGTTTGTGTGTTTGACAGCTTGGATATGGAACCACGGAGAACAGCCCTGTGACGTTCTGCGGCTCCCCCATCGACAACCTGGAGAGGAAAGCTGAGACCTGCGGCTACATCATGGACCACTTAGAGGTGAACGCAGGAGAAATGACATTACAAAAAATAATCCCAGACACTTTGAATTAAGGTCACAATACTCCCCATTAGCATGCTTGCTCTGCTGTCCCATGAGGGAACTAAAAAACAGACTTCTTCTAATGCTGCCATAAAATATTGTGTTAATTTGAGCAAAATATTACAGCCTTTTAACTAATGCTACTCCACCAGAACACTGTCGTACAGTGACGTCTGACAGTGATCCTGATGCTATTGCTAGTGAATGTTTTCTTGTAAATGTTAGCTAGGTTGTCAGGTGTTGTAAACTTGCATCATTTTGAAGGGATGGAAAATTAACAATCCCATGCTGCAGCTTTACTGAGTGTTCAATGGTGGCCACTACTCCCTAAGCTCTTGTTTTTCCTTCATCCCTTTTAACAAGTCACGGGACTGAAAGCTATGAATAGTGACAATATTTAAAACAACACCTTTGCACCATGTCTTGTACCTACTATTTAAACATTTAATACCAATGTAGAGTACATGCAACAGGCCTAGTGGGCATATGGAACAAAACTAATATTACGTCTTCAACTTAATTTAGGTATTTGTTGCATAAATAATTCCACTTTGTCCTGTGTCTTAGCTCGACACACAACTTGAACAATGGCCCCCTTCTTGCATTTATTTGATGCCTGAATAAAGGTATGGGGTCAAAAAGAGTGCATCACTCCGGAGGGCTGGTACAAAACCGGGTGAGTGGACGTTTTTTTTTATAGTCATTGTATTTGTCTCCTGTAAATAAAAAACACTTTGCTTCATTATTCTTAAATCCTGGTTTTCATGCAGAGATATCGGCAGCATGGACGGGTTCAGCTACCTGAAAATCGAAGGCAGGATTAAGGACTTGATCATCAGAGGGGGCGAGAACGTTTACCCGGCGGAGATCGAACAGTTCCTGCACACTCATCCCAAAGTGAAGGAGGCCCAGGTGAGCTCGAAAACAGCATCCCAGAAACATGTTGATGCATACTAAGGGATAAGGGATTTATCTGGAGGAAACAAACACCTTTATACTTCTGTTCAAATCAAGATCAAATGCTCCTAATTCAACTTCAACTTCAACTTAATCTTCAACTTCAACAGCCTGCTGAAAAAAAGAAAGTCGAGGTGTCAGAGTTACATATTGCTCCTTTAACTTACCACACTTTAAAGTCTTTATATGTGATGTTTCACACTTAAATATAATAGAAGTCAAGTATATCCTCTGAAAATAACTCTGTGAGTCATGACTGTCTACAATGGGTGTAACACCCGAGTCCCACTGTCTGTGATGTTTTCAGAGTTTTCAGAGTCCTATCTTCAGTTTGTTTACATCGCCTGGACGGCCGGCTGACTCCTCCCCTCGAGTATAAAAGTTGTTTAATTGAGGGACTAGAGAAAAGAAGAATAACATACTGTACTCACTGCTTAACTGTGTTTCTAGATCACGCTCATTTCAGGTAAATTTACATGCAGTGTGAAGATACGAGCATAATAAAGATTGCTAGCATTAGCATGCTAACACAACAATGCAGCGTGAGTTGTTTTGGTTTCATGCTGGTGCTCAAGGGCGACATCTGCTGGATCAAAAAATCACATATAAAGCCTTTGAAGAAGCACACATCTCCATTTCATGATTAAATCCTACCCGAAAACTTTAATCCTGTTGGATTACTTTAGAACAACAAGGTCCTGGTGTCTCACTCAAGTTGTGCAGCTACATTTGTTGTCATGACGACCAAAATGATCATGTATTTTTTTTTATTCTGCTCCAAATCTGCATGCCCCCTCTGCCATCCAATGCTTTGAAAGTGTATGCACATTGAAGTTAGCGAGCTTGTTTTCATGCTGTTTTTTTTTTTTTTTTTCAGGTTGTTGGAGTTATGGACGAGCGTATGGGCGAGGAGGTCTGCGCCTGCATCAAACTGGTGGACGGACAAGAGAGCACCACGAAGAAATCAAAGCTTTCTGCAAGGGACAGGTGAGACACAACCCTTATTCTGTATTATTTAGTTTTATGGATTTGTTTGAAATATTCAGCTCAGTATGTCTCTGCTCATTTCAGATCGCTCACTTCAAAGTTCCTCGATACGTTCTGTTTGTGACCACCTACCCGCTCACCATCACTGGAAAGGTAACTTAGGAACTCTGGCATTCATGGCCCGAGCTCTTCTACTGCTATGTGCACTCATATGATTTGAAAACATGTATACATATAATAGGAAAACTGTTTTATAAGATGGCATGCATCCAGACTAAAAACCGATCTGTAATCAGCAGCTGCTGTTAAAATCACACATCGAGCATCGCCTCCCCTCTGGTTCTTGTGTTTCTCTCGTGGGATGCTGTTTGGAATTACTGTAGACTTGGGGCTTGTGTTTGAACAGGCCTGACCTGAACGCCCCAGACAGGAGGGCGAGGGGAGCTATTAGCTCGTCTGCACGCACACCAGGTCCTAGTACATGAACCCAGAAGGGCGGCGGAGACTCGTTCCAAAGCAGCAAATCAGATCAAATCTGATCCTTAGTCCAAGACTCCTTCAGTTCATTTCACTTTATTTCAGCAGGGTAGTCTGTGCAGTTTGGAAAGAGTCATTCATGACACAGAACATCAACACAGGGTCACATTAAGAGTCTGTTCTTGTCCCTTAGTGTAGTGAAAGTCAGATACATACAGATGTTTGACCGTACTCGTGAGGATATCAAACCCTGGAGCTGCTCAGACTACGAGACAGCTCTCCAATCCAACCAGATTCTTGATCTTGAGTCCTAAATCTAAACATCAGATGTAAATAAATCCTGCAAGAAGTGACTCTGGTTGTGAAATCATGTTGAGAGCAACTTAATGTCCAAGGATGTAAAAGTGTTCATTAGGATTTATTCTCTGAAGGGAACATCTTTCATTCACAGCTCATAAATCATAGCCACACTAAGGTGAAAACAAAAGGTTACATTTTCCTTATTTTGAGGGATTATCACTCAGCAGTTGTGAGACTAAACGTGACTGCTGTTGAATTATGATAAATCACTTCATGGATATTTTTATATTATATTTTATATTTTTAAGTAATTTTATTTGAGCTGAACTACTAATTCAACCAAGCATGAACATGAAGTGAATCTGGTTTATCTTGATTGTTTATGCATTAAAAATAATCTGGCGCCCCGTTGTGCAGTTTTTTCAAATGATAAAGTAGTTCTGAAATAAAACTTCCACTGCTTTAACCATTTTATATTTTTCCCTAGGGGGAATTACATGTTGGATTGTTTGTTAAAAACATTGAGACAAAAAAACCTGCCAACTCAAATCTGCCCCATTTCCTTTTCACTGATTTGAGAAACGATAAATGTCAGAGACGTTTTTAAACTGGTTGGACAGGAGGATAATATTTGACCTTTAAACGTTATTGTCTCTCTCTCCTCAGATCCAGAAGAACAAACTGCGCGAGGAGGCTGAGGAGCAGCTCAGACTGGTGAAGGGAAAATGAGAGAACTGTATCTCATGTACCCCCCCCCCCCCCCAATCAGGGCATCGTAAAATATCATAAAAACAGAGAAGCGTTTTTAAAGTGTCAACGTTTGACGGCCAAGTGTGAAGCTTCAGGATGAACCAGATACATCTATCCTTCCTCCTGTAACCAGCTGTGAAAGAAAGAGGTTAAATCATGTTTATTTTTTATTGTCAACAAACCCCTCCCTCTAAAAAAAGACCAAAACCAGCGACTTACAAGAGACCACTGACGATTCAAGAATAAGAGCACAGAGACAGGATGCTGAAAAGAGTCTCCAACTAATGCACTTTTCACTCCTGTTCATATTCAATCATGATGTTTAAAGGAAGAACGTGCGACTTTTTGATCCAGTACATGTCGCCCTTTAGTACCAGCATGAAACCAAAACAAACTGCTGTTAGGCCACGCCTCCTCCATCCTGAAGCCTCCGCTCTCCTCCAGAGACACAGATGTTTACACTCACGTTTACATGAAGAAGTTATGAATTAGAACGCACCATAATGAAGCTCCATTAAGCGCAACTAGCGGACAAAATTCTCCTCTGCTCGAGCTGCAGTCACCTGTGTCCTGCATTGTTAGTGTTAGCATGCTAATGTTAGCGCTCTTTAGTTAGCTCATAGCTTCATATTAAACATAAACTGACACAGAATGACCGCGATCTAAAGACACTTATGTGACATTCAAATAATCAGTGAGTATGTTCTTCTTCTTCTCTTTAGTTCTTGACTAAAACAGCTTTTATACACAAGGGGAGGAGCCGGCCGTCCCGTCCATGTAAACACGGCTCTGACAACAACACAGCCAGCGGGACTCGAGCTTCTCCCTCATTGTAGACAGTCATGACTCAGAGACAGGACAGACTGGATTTAAAATGTCGCACATTCTTCCTTTAATTCTTGTTCTGTTTTAAAAAGTTCCATCTTCACTGGGACACTTCAGGAACAAGTCAGGAATCATTTGGTGGCTGTTTCACCGACGTTTCAATAATGGGATTTGTTGACAGTCACAGCAGCAGCATCCTCTCACAGCTGTCTTTGTGAAAAGGTGAAACCAAACGTCCAGTAGTCAATGCATAAGTAGATTTGTTGTAAAGCATCCGAGCCGCTCTCAGTGAAACACACCGTCCTTGAACGACTCTTTGCAGCTTGATTGGAAGGCTCCTTCAGTTCTGTCCGTCTTCAGACCTGAAGGAGCCTTTCAGAGGAGAGGTGAAACATCTTCAAAGATCTTCACCTAAGTCCAGTCCCCTTTGAGTCACCATGACCTGATGACTGAGAACACAGACATGTTGAACGCCTCCTTTATTTTTTTTGTTGTCCAGCAGCACGCTTTAAAAAAAATATTTTCTACATCAACTTGAAATAAACTTTGTACCACGTTATTAAAGCCAGGCGTGGGTGTTCCTCTTTTTACGGGAAGAATGAAGGTATTTTTATTGATCTGGGTGGCAGGTGCACGCCTCTTAAGCCCCTGGAATGCCATTGAGAAACACTTAACACGCGCGCTAATTGAAAAATTAGAACTCTGTGGGATTCTCCAAATGAGGAAAAATATCACAGAAACACACACTCAAAGCTGTAAAGAATTTCCTCCGCAGTCTGAATCGAGCTACATGTGCAGTCCAAGCCGGAGCCGCTCTGCAGGATCGGATGTCGTCTTCTGTCTAGACCTGAAGGACTCGGCCCAGAAATAGCTACTAAAAAGTCCAGGAGAAAACAAACGGAGCTCCTGGCTCTTCACCGGGAGCCGCAGAGTTTATTTAACGTTTCTTTATTTGACATATTTTGGGATCGGGTTTAATGTTTCAGGATTTATACAGAGCGCCAAGTGCATGAGTCCAATGATTTGTTTGAACACGCTCCAGTATCCACAGCAGGTCTGAAGAATTCAGCGCAAAGCCAAAGGAATTTACATCTTTAGGAAAAACAGGAGGTGAGACTTCAGCAGCTTCTCTCCCTGGAACATTTTTTGGCAAACAGTTTGGAATTTGTTGTAACTTAATTAAACAAATGCTGTTTTTATATCATTAGTAATTAACCCTATTAATCTTTAAAGAACTCAATGTGTGTGGCCAGAAAGTCTTTAATTTAAAAAATATATACCATTGCCCTCTTGTGGCAACAAAGTGCACAACACTTCCCAAACTGGGAAATTGTGGTTTTAATTCATACATTTAAAGTAGCAGATTTATGATACAGGCTCTGTGTCAAAATGTTCAACCATACTGTCGACGTCATTTTAGTCGTGAGCTAAAAATAGTTCTTAAACTCTCATAGAGAGCAAACAGATCCAAAGTCCTCAAAGATTCTCCCACATGAATTCCTCAGCTGTCAGTCTTTTGGCAGCGGGATACCGACCGCGCTCTGCTGTCCCTGCATCTGCTGCTCCGCTCGGGCCACCTGCTCATGGCTGCAGCAGTCCTGCAGGAACACAGCGGCCAGGTTTCTGAGGCGGGGGCTCTCCGAGAGAGAGAAACGCAGCATGCACTGCAGGATGGCCGGGTCGGTGATCTCGGAGTGCGAGGAGGCCGTGGTGAGGTTCATGAGTATGGTGATGGCTGACAGGACGGTCTCTTCTCTCCGGCTCGACAGACAATTGGTGACTAAGCTGATGCCGCTGTTCTGCAGGATGATGTCTCTGCATTCAGGGTCCATGCTCAGGTTACACAGCCCCCCTGGCAACGTGACACACACAGAGAGAGGTTGATTTTTTGATAATGGAGACACTATATGCACAATTTTAAAAAACAGTGAAAGAGATGATGAACATTTGCTTGTTACTTCAACACTCACCCATCCCAAACTCCACAAAGTTTTCATTGTCCTCAGTGAGCATGTCCAAGAAGAGGTCGGTCACTTGCAGCTCCTTCAGATACTCCATGTTGTTTGGGTCATACGCAAAGTTGGCCAGGTTAGCCAGCACCTGCTCCTTTGCCTCTGACGCAGAGATACAAGTTAGTATACAACGAAAAAGTAACAACAATAAAAAAAAATGTATAAGAACATGAGAGAAGATGGGCAGTCATGTCAAAAACAAAAGGTTGTTTTATAGAACAATAAATCTGAGGTTTAAGGTCATTTAAAAACCGTCTTATTTTGTCCACCAGAGAGCGATAGAACGTTAAAATTCTAAGTGTCAGATGAGGAATGAGATGGTTGAAAAATATTTGAAAGGTTTGTTTAAATACAAAGCAAAATTTAGTTTATGCTTCTTTAATAGTATTGTGAGGTATTGTTTCATCCCTACAGATAATCAGAGGGGTATTCAACCATATTAAATTTATTTGTAAAGCACATTTAAAAACAGCAACAGCTGGCAAACGTGCTGTTCATGGAACAAAACAAAAAAACACTTTGGTTTTGCTTTCATTCAGTTGTAAGAAGTTTTGGGGCAACCAGCATTCGATGTATTCGATGTCACTGTCTGATTGAATTAAAGTCTGATCATTTTGGGGTTTTATGGGTAGATAGAGCTGGGTATCATCTGCATAACAGTGGTAAGAAATGTTGTGCTTTTCCATGATTTTTGAGCGGGAGCATGTAAATGTAGAAAAGAATGGGGCCTAGGACAGAGCCTTGAGGGACTCCGCAGAATAGATTTTCTGTAGAGGAAGTTAAATTCTTTATATACACTATGAAAGTTCTGTTTTTTTTTTTTAAATAAGGAGATGAACCAACTTAGGGTGGCACCGCTAAAACCCTACGCATGCTGAAGGCAATCAACTAAAGTGGTACGATATGACGGGCGGCCCTTCAGTCCAACCCGTCTTGATAGTTAAAAAGCTGTAGACAAACTAATAAGACTTCTGTTTAGGATAGGATAGGATAATACTTTATTGATCCCCAGAGGGGACATTCGGGCGTTACAGCAGCACAGACAAGAAAGCTCAAAATACACATTAAACAGAATAGATAAGATAAATAAAAATAAAAACAGGGGGTATATACAAGTACAAAATGAATAATGAAGTTAACTGGGGGGAATTGAGACGGTATTTGTAGAGAATGAAAAGATAACGTGACAAGTGATTAAAGTGACTTGGTATGATAAATAGCAGCAAGTCATGTAAACAGCAGAGAAGAGAAGCAGTGTTGTACCACAGTGATGCAGAGTGCAGTTATATAATATAATATAATATAATATAATATAATGTAGTGCAATATGAACAATATAGTGTCATATAATGAAATGTTATACAATATAGACTAAAATAATAATATAATAAAATATATAGAATGTACAGTATACATATATACATATATATATATATATTGTATATATATATATATTGATGCTAAATAATAATAATAGTAATACAATAATAACACAATGTTAGTAATGATAATAATGAAGCAGGTCATGTGTTTTATGGGAGTGAAGTTTTGTGTCAAATTATGTTTACATGTTTATTATGTTTAAATGTAAATGTTTACATATTTATATTTAGTTCAAGGTGTTTAATTTGTTGTTTTCATTTTTACTTAATAACCAACTTTACTCAAATTTATCTATAAAGCACTTTTTCATACATAAAAGCTTTCAGCCCAAAGTGAGTCACAGAAGAAATAAACACAGATCTGAAAAGACTAAAACAGCAAAGACAATAATATAATAAGACAGATGTTACTTTATCTTTAACCTTTAATTCAGACCCGGAGATCAACTTCATACTTTGTATTCCAGGGACATCGACAGAGTTAACCTGCACAGACATTTAGAATCAGTACCTGAACTCACCTTCACTGTCGGTGTCCTGAAACTCACCGACCAGAGTTTGTAAATATTCAAACCGATCTGAACCTTCACTCGGTTTCTTCTTCCACATCGTTAGCTTAGCTTTAGCTTTTACTCCAGATTTTACTACATCGACGTTTTGAAAAACCAACAAACAAACGACTCTGAAATCCGTCCGTACTACGACAGGTTTCCGCCTTCACATGGTTCCGCCTTAACGTTAACATTGTTTTTTTTAAATAACTCTATGTCGACTAAAATGTTAGTGAAATCAATTAAACACGAACT